TTAGATTAGTGTGAAAGTTACCAAAGTTTAGTTCGGGTTTTTTTTTTTACTATTGAGTTTAAGTATTATCAAACCTAAATTGTTGAACTGTATGGTCTGTGGTGTTTAAAAAGCAAAATTTTTGATAGTTGAACCTTTAATATTTAAATTAAAATAATAAATATTAAATTTGAAAAGAAGTTAAAGATAATAATAACAATAGGTGACATAATAGGTAGCCTATATTTTTAATTTAATTAAAAACATACTTTAAGTATAAGTTGAAGTATAAATTTTGTTTTATCATAGAAAAAATATTCTTAATATAAAACATAGATAACTAATTTAAAGAAATTAAGAAAATTAGTTAACTTGTTTAATTGTAACCAATGTTCATGTACTTTTTTAAACTATCCTCTTTATTCTTTTTGTATTAGGATCATTCCTAGCTAGGAATCTTTATCATCAATAGGGATATTTTAGAAAAAAATATAATGAATTTGAAAGATAAAGTAAATTGAATTCTCATATTTTAGATTATATTAAATTTTCATATGACTCTTATATTTAAGAATGGAAGTAGTGTATGATTTTCATTAAAAAGATAGAAGACAGTGACGGTTAAAGTAATAATTCATGATAATTAACATATTACTTGGTGCTCTTACTTGTATCTGCTACTACTTCTTATTTTGTTTTTTTTTCCCTACTACCACATGCATCTACTTCGACCATAATAGAAATCGTCATCGTGAACTGGGAGCGTTACAATAAAATTAGTAGGCATCGGTTATCAGACAAAGGACGTTAGCAGTGAAGTAGATTGCCTTGGTTTTTTCCAAATTTAATTAAAGGGAAAATCACTAATAAAGAGCATGAATTATGTGAAATCACCTGAATTAGGGTAATCTCATAAAAATACAAAATCCTAAGTTGAAATTTTAAAATTCAAATTAAGAGATATAAATACCTTTTTATTTTTTTCCTTAAAAAAAGAGTAAGTTCCCAACCCCCTTTTATGTCTTTTGGGGTGCTTTTTTTTTTTTTTAAAAAAAGAGATTTTACATTTTTCAAGTTCTTACTTAGTTACTTTTCCTTAATTTAATGGCCATTATCTTGAGAAAGCCATTGGCATAAACTGTTTGCAATAAGCAGCATTATTTTGACGGTATTCCAATCTGTTAATGTTAACAAACTGCTGATTACAAATATAAAAAAAAAAATGATGAACGGACAAATTTAGTCATTGTAATATTCAAAAGGAACAATAGATACCATAATAAAATGCTGGGTGCAAAAATATCTATGATGATTTAAAAAGGGCCTTGAAATACTACTTCTAATAAACTTAGCTACGTTGACCATTAGTTTTTAAAATGTTGACCAAATGAGGCGACCAGAAAGCTTATTTGAGGATGATAAAGTACTACTTTTTGGTTGTGGATCCCACATTCTGTCTTCTAATGCCATGTTTTTCATACACCCTCCAATTACAATCCACCCTCTTAATAGCTTAATTACACCCTCTCATTTTTATTTGAAATTTGTGGTTGTAAATTATTATTAAAAAACCCACACACCTCTCCCCTTCCTCAACACTCCACTTTTCTCCTTCATCCCTCATTATAGTCACCCAAGTAGTGACAACAAGCCCAAAACTTAAAGCCTCCTTAAGTCATTTAAAGCCCTCTTAGTAAGAAAATTAGTCAAGGAATTGTTATCACTATCAATCAATGTGAAAGCTGCTTACTGGTTTCCCCGGATCATCTATCACTCCTTTGTATTTTGATGGCGCAAGCCGTGCCAAAAGCATAGCCTCTTGCCGCCAGCGAGTTCGCATGCAGCGATGCAAATCATTGGGCCCACCCTCTTATCATTGGCGTTCAAATTGAAACTGGGTTTCTCATTATTGGAATCTTCAACGGTAAAGTTCGCATGTGGTGGAGCATTGGATTTCTCGTCCTCAAAATCACATATTTGTAAAGTCCAAGTTTCTATAGCTCTCCTCTTCTCTTCTCAGAAGTGGCGTCTTAGGTAACTCTCCTATCTCTCCTCTAAGGGGGTGTTTGGCTTTTGGGCAAAACCTTGGTTTGGTTTGCCAAACCATGGTTTGGCAAAAAATTTGCCAAACACCCCCAGTTTTTGCCAAACCAAGGTTTTGGACAAAACCAAGGTTTTGCCCAACAAAACCTCGGTTTCAGATAAGCAGCCGGCTGATCGATTATGCACTTCAATTATTGGCTCTCCCCAACAAAACCTTCAGCTTGCGAAGGACTTGCTTCAACGGTCAGCTCACGGGAACAAGCACGCCGCACGCGGTATACTCTTCAGCTCACGGTCAAGATGTCTTCCGCCTCTTCTCTCCCATTCATCGCCGTCGGCCTCTCCCTTCAGCTCACCTGAAGATCTCGACTCGGGCAATTTCTCACTGGAGAAGAATCGAAGGAAAAAAGCCAGCCATCCGGTCCTGTGTCGTCGGTGAGATCTTCCCATCCCTCAGCAATATCAGCGCCGGCGACGTGCTTCTGGGCTTGCGAAGACATCACCGCGTATTGGGTTCGGCCGATCGGAGCCATCCGGTTCTGATCTCTTCGCTTTCAGTCCGTCTCAGGTCGCCTTGCTCGGTTCCAGCTCTCATATCCACAACTCCGGTAAGCTGCCTCCGCGAACTCCGGTTAGGATTCTCTGGCATGCTGTAGACTTCCGGTCGATTTGAAATGACGTCCGGTCCATTCCCCCCCGGTCGATATTCCCCCCCGGTCGATATCCCCCCCACGGTCGATATTCCCCCCCGGTCGATATCCCCCCCCGGTCGATATTCCCCCCCCGGTCGATATTCCCCCCCCATTTCGGTCTGTAATATATATGTGCTCACCGTAATTATTATGCTTTGAATCATTTCGGTCTGTAATATTACCTCCGGTCGATTTTTTCCCCCCCACACAGCGGTGGTTTCACCGATAACTTTGGATCATTGGTGGCTTCATTTTGTTTCCCCCACACAGCTGTTAATTTCGTTAATTTCGGGCTGACCGTTTGGTTTGGATGCTGGTTTCATTCTGTTGTGTGTGGCTGTTTGTTGTGCAATTTTGGTAGCTGGAAATTTTAAATAGGTGTGTGTGTCTTTTATTGAACATTCGTATGTTGTGTTTTGGAGACAGATCAGTCGATGATGCTGTGTGTATTCGGTTGGATTATGGGTGTTTGTGCTGATGAAATTATTTTTATTTCTGTAATGAAAATCCTATGAATGAGTTAACCAATTTCTATGTTTCAAATTTTGATCACTTAACCAATAGTATAATTAGTGGTTGAACTTCAATTTTGGTCAGTTAACCGAAAAGAACTCCCTGAAATGATGAGAAAAAAAGTCATCATTAATTTTGCAATATCAATTATTAATGAGGCCTCATTTTGCTAGAAAAAAGAACATGTGGCTATACTTGTTAAATACTATACCTGTTATATCATATCTCCTGGACTGAATGGTATGCTTTTTGGGTTGAACTTGTCATGACCCCACTGTTGTAATTGGTTTATAGCATAATGAATAAAAAAAATAGCAAGGCTTCGTGGGATATAAGAGCCACAAAGATCTTTATTGACCTGTGTATTGAAGAAGTTGAAAGAGGGGGAAGAAGAGGAACTAGCATGACAAAGCCTGCTTGGACAAGTATTGAGGGGAGCTTTACTGCAAAGACTGGGAGGGTTTATACGAAAATCCAATTAAAAAACAAATTTGATACTTTGCGAAAGGAGTGGCAGTTATGGGATAGGCTGCTCCGTGAGACAGGTTTAGGGTGGGATGCTGAAAGGAATACTGTTAGTGCCCCTGATGATTGGTGGGAGAAGAAAATTGTGGTAATCATTTAACTTTATTTGAACTTGTATTTTCTCCCATGTTAACGTTTTTTGTATAATGTATAATATTTTTGGTGTTGAATGCGCAGGAAGTTCCAGGCTATGAGAAATTTAGAGAAAGAGGGCTTCAATTTCGGGCTGAATTGACTCAACTCTTTGGATCTGTAGCTGCGACTGGACCACATTCATGGACACCTTCTTCCATGACACTTCCAAATGAAGGAGTTCCTGAAGATGATATGGAAGAAGGATCTGGAGATAGTGATGAAATTTTGGGGGCACCAACTGGCATAAGCGGGGAGTTTAATTCAGTCACATTCAATGACAATAGTGGAGGAAGTGGAGGCAACACTGGGATGAGACAGGAAACCATTCGTGGGGGTAGAAGCACAGGGGGCAGTCGACCCAGTAGCTCATTAGGGGTTAGAAGAAAAGGTGAATCCATGAAGAAGAAACCCACTACCACTATGAAAATAGCAGATGCACTAAGCAGGATAGCTCAAGCAAATGAAAATGACTCTCAGCGTGAACATGAAGAGATTTCAGAAGCACGTGCTAGGAAGGCAGAAGAAGAAGCACGTGCTTATGAGACGTCAATTGCCGGAGTCATGGAGCACCTTAATGAAGTTGATGAAGTTACTGATGATCCTGATCTGTTTTCCCGGTGCACAACACTCCTCATGGACAAGCCAGCTGCAAGGGAGATGTATGTGGCTCTGAAGAACAGGAGGGAAAAACTCCTGCTCTTCTTGAAGCATGCAACCAAGGATTGAGACTTCATTTGTGTTGCTTATCGTAGTATTTGACTACTTTTTATGTTGCTTAGAAGATGACTGTGATAATTTGTGTATATTTTTAGGAATTATGTAATCAGCACTATTGTATTATGTGACTTTCAAATTCTGTAGGAATTAAAGAACTTATTTTCTTGTTAAATGTTTAGTAGTTTCATATCAAGGTTTCTAAATTTTATGTCTATGTGCACAGGACAAGACAAAAAATGGCTGATGAAATTAAAATTGCGGAAAAGTATCGTAAACGACGGAACAAACGGGTTAATCAAGTTGCAGTAGCGGTTGGTGGATACGCTTCTCTTCATTTGTGTAAAGAGCCCCAGCATACAAGTATTTATACAGGCAAGGCATGGGTAAGGGATGTTTTACAAGGCCATTCCAATCGTTGTTATAACATGTTTAGAATGGAAAGGGAAGTATTCTTTAGTCTTTGCACAGAATTGCAACAACACGGTCTAAGGGAAACTAGAAATGTTGGGATATATGAAATGGTTGCAATGTTTTTAAATACCGTTGGCCATGCGCTTAGTAGTAGGATGCAGCAAGAAAGATTCCAACATTCAGGGGAGACAATTAGTAGACATTTCCATAATGTCTTATTGGCATGCTGTAGACTTGCTATGTCCAATATCAAACCAAAAGATCCAACATTTCAGCATTTGCATACAAAAATACGGCCCGGTGGTCGATACTGGCCCTTTTTCAAACATGCTATTGGAGCAATTGATGGAACACATATTTCATGCATTGTTGATGCAACTGAGCAAACAAAATTTATTAACCGAAAAGGAAGAGTGACGCAAAATGTAATGGCGGTTTGTGATTGGGACATGTGCTTCACTTTTGTATTGGCTGGATGGGAAGGTAGTGCGCATGATGCTCGTATATTTGACCACGCCCTCACAACTCCTTCCATGAACTTCCCCCATCCGCCTCAAGGTATATTTTAAATTGCTACAATTTATTTATCCTTAACTGTTAGAAAACAAAGTTTATTAACACCAATCATATATTTCATGTAGGCAAATATTATTTGGTCGATGCTGGCTACCCGACACCCATGGGATATCTTGGTCCCTACAGACGTGAACGCTACCATCTCCCTGATTTTCGAAGGTCATCTGCATTTGAAAATGACAATGAGGCGTTCAATTATTTGCACTCAAGTCTACGGAGCACTATTGAAAGAACTTTTGGAGTTTGGAAGAGTAAGTTTGCAATTTTAGGAAACATGCCGAGCTATGACTTTCCAACACAGGTTCAAATTGTTTGTGCAACGATGGCCATACATAACTTCATTAGATCAACATCCATTTCTGATCCTGGTTTCATTCAGTTTGAACCAGAAGGTTCTTATGCAGAAGAAAATAATGATGATGATGGAGTTGGGTCTTCACATATACCTTCATCAATAGAATCTTCATCTCACATGGCTCGACTTCGTGACTCCATAAGAGATCAAATTGTTCACTATATACAAGAATAGCCATGTCTTTCTTATTTCCTTTTTTCTTTTCAGATAATGTAATGTGTTGTTAAAAAAAAACTACTTGGACAAATATATTTCGTTGCAACCTCTATTATGAAGACAATTGATATGAATTTTTTTTTGTGCTTATTTAATTTTGTGAAAAAAAAATTATGGGATTTCATCTTTAAGAAATAATAATATTTTTTTTGGCAAAATAAATCATTTTCCTCAAAACATATTTAATTATATTATTAATATATATACACATTAATTTTTTACTATTTATATTATTTATGTCTTATTTATTATGTTGCCAAAATATATATTATTAACAAATTTATTACTTCAAATAAGCATATATCATGAAATATATCTTACATGTAATTATCATTTAAACTTATGTCCTTTTTAGTAATTTCTACATATCAAAAAGCACTTCTGACAATAATTATCCAAACACTCTCACTTTATCAGAATCACTTTTTCAGAAAAGTTATTCTCTCAAAATTTATTCTCCCCAAAATCTATTCTCCAGAAGCTATTCTCCAAACCATGGTTTTGCCTCATCCAAACACCCCCTAAATCTTACTTCTGAGCACAGATCGCAATGCATTTACTAATGATTAGCTCTGGTAAAGTTTTAGAAGAAAAGCAAACTCTAAGGATGTGACATTGAACTATTTGTGATTCAGAGCATCTGGTATTTTAATAGATTCTTTCTCATCATTTTCAAATGTTCAATTGCTTGTGCTTTGTGATCTAAACCATGAATGATTACTTGGGTTTGATTTATGTTGTCGATGGAATGAGGAAGACACGATGAAGGGGGCTATGATAGAGGCACTGGTGGCATAATGGTGGGAAGGTGATGGTGATGAAGAGGGGAAGAGTTTTTGTAATAGTTGTATTTTTGTTTTACTTTCGCAGCTAGGGTATTCTTATGCCATGTAAGCACCACATCAGTATGTTTTGGTCAAAATCTTTTCTTTAAATGGTCAACATACTAAGTTTAACAGAAGTAGTATTTTAGGGCTCCGTTTGAATTACCATAGGTATTTTTGTACCTTACATTTTATTATGGTGTTTACTGCTTCTTTTGAATATTACAATAGATAAATTTACCCATTATTAAAAAAAATCAAGAAGTAGATCATTCCAAAAGAGAAATTTAACAAACAAGAGTTGATCATGAGTTTAAATTTTGTTGTATATGTAAGGAACTTATTGAAAGGCAATCTGTAAATATCTTTGTAAGTGTTTTTAAGTTTGAAAACATATCTTGTCTTGGTAAGCTCCTAAGGGTTTGGACTTGACTCAACTTTTTTGCATAGAAAAAAAAAGAAAAAAAAAATTGAGATCACAATATTTGTGGAGTGAGTAGATTAACAGCACAAGATTCAAGAACAGAAACACCGAAAACTACTCGGCCATGAAGATCTATATGTGCTCCGACACCAACGACATAAATAGTTGAAGAAAAGGAAGGAGGGAGGGAGGAGGAAGAAAGGAAAAAAGTATTAGCTAGGATTTCAGTATTTTGATCAATGTTTTAAAAAATGAATGTGCATTTTGATCAATGCTACATGTTAAAAATTGAATCGGACGGGTCAGTTTGAGGGGCTGTTGGGAATAGGTTTTCATATGTAGTTTTAAAGATTTCGAAATAAGTATGTGGGAGATATTTTATCTCATGTTTATGTAAAAACACTTTTTTTAAGTGATTACAAAAGTTTCCAAACCCCTTCTAACCGAAAAAAATAAGCTCCTATTTAGGGGTAAAACTGAAAAGGATTTCAACCAATAGAAAATTATTGGTGAATTAGAATTGATTTGAGTCAACCAAATTTTCTTTAAAAAAAATTAAGAACGTTAAATTATGTTTCTAAGCTACATTTTATGTATGCCTGCACATTTTAAGCATCGAAAAAGAGAAATTAATGAGAAAACACGTTAAATAAATATGTATATTTATTATAGAAAATTGATATGCATACAAATCCTTATCATGTTACTTTATTTTTTTTAGTTAAATACCTGTAGCTTTTATTTTCTCAAATTTAGCCTCATAGGTATTAGCCTTGATGCTTATTATTCGTTAATTTGTAAGAGTAAGTAGCAGATGATGTGGCCCTCACTAAACACATGTTTGTCACAGTTATAAGCATAATAATAATTTCATATTTTTACGGCGATAATAAATCAATTTTATTCTATCCTCTTGTTTTAAAAAACCTATTTATTAGTTATCGTACCTTGATGCTTATTGCATAAACTAGCCAACAAGATGCAGATTCAGTCTAGGAAGAGTTTCAGCTTTTTTTAAACCAGAAGGAAGAGGTTCAGCTGATGAAGCCAAATTTGCAAGCTGCCGATAACCATTTGGACATCTGATGCAAATTACTAATGAAATGATCGCTAGCTTCACACACAACACAGCAGGGCAAATAGATAATGAGTGCTCCTTTACTAATCGTATCATTTATTGGTTTATGTGTCCTGTGGAGTGCTTTGATTATGCCAAAAGACATTGCAGCTTGTGGACTTGTTGGGCTATGTTTGGCACGTGGGTCTCAATTCCGAAGGTTTGGAAAGGATAATGGGATTGAGTGTGGAAGTGAGACTGACCTTTAAAAATATGTTTGATAGGGAGTAATATCTGAAAGTAATGATTGCATTAATTTTTATTTTAAATTAATTATAAATTGAGGAAAGACTATAACAACCTTGTTAAAAAAAACAAAACCCTTGTTCTGAAAAATCTTAATCTTAGGGGTAGATTTTCAATACCACATTCCTTTTTGATATTTCTTAATTTTATTATAGATTTGTCCAATCTCAAGTAATAAACAATTCCTCATACCAAATACTCTTTTTCTTAAGTGGGTTTTCTTAATCTCAATTCCAATCTTGACCTACCAATACTTCATTCCAAGCGGGACAATATTTCATTCCAAAGATTTAGGAATAGCTACAATGTTGTGTATGACATGTCAGAATGCTTATGGGTGGTTTGGGTGGGATCCTAAATACAAAATGTGTGACAGCCGACAATGCTGTTTGCGATGAATCAGTTAAGGCTACATTGTCGTCTCACCAGCTAATGTGTCTTGATTCTTTATTTCGTGCTTATATATATTTACAAGAATTAATTTCGTCGGTGCAAGGGAACAAGATGGAAGTTGGTTTTAAGAGTAAGCTCAGCTTTTCCCTTATTATTATACACGAGGCATATGTTTCGGAAGCAGGGGGAACCCCCCAAGAATGTTCAGACCGTCCACCATGTTATCGAGGAGCCGCGGAGCCGAAGTTTGGAACTGGGAAGGTTCAAGAGACGCTTTTGACACTGATATGGAGAACATGGGCATTAGGCCTACATCATCATTGGGCTCTATGGCGAACAGGCCCAATTGGCTTCAACTGAGCATTCATTTTTAGCCCATGATCATACTTCGGCCCACATTCTTGGCATGGGCAAAATAAGACAATACCTGCATCAAGTTTTTAATATTTATTATATCAAATATTCCAATCGCATTCGCATATGACTAAATGTCCTATTTTTAAAATATTAGTATTTAATAATAAATTCATGTAAAATAAAAAAAAAGATACATGGTCATATATTATTTGAGAATTTGACCTAAGTCTTTTCCAACAAAATATTATTTCCTGTTTTTCTCCCACAAGGAGACACACAATTTAATGCTCCAGTAATAATTCAAACTTCAGTAATAATTCACTCATATACTATCTCCGGTTTTAATTATAAGATCTCGTTTATAAATTACAAATAAAGTCTTCTAATTAGAACTGAAAAGTAGTATTATTTTATATTTTATTTTATAAAAGTTAAATATAAGTATATTTGATAAAGGGAAAGATAAAAAACGCACAATGACGCAAGTTTGTTGCCAAGCAAAACGTCAGTACCAAAATCGGCTTTTTTTTTTCCACATTTATTTAGAATAAATAATAAATGTCTCTGGAATCCGGCAACTTTGTTGCATATCTTCTAAGAAATTTTTTTATTTTTAATAAATAATCCTTAAAAAGCTATTTAGAAGATAGTAAAATATTTATACAATTTGAATTATAATAAAATGCAAGATAAATTTTGGTTTTCCAGATGCATGTATCTAATGTAATAATATAATTATATGATTTATACAGTTTAAAAATATAAGTTGTATATCTTTAACAAGAGTTAGAAAGCATTAGCACAGCATACCCAATGCAGGACATCTAATTTTTTTTGTGGGTACATTTTTCTTTTTTACCAGCTTTTTGTTGGTAGTACAAGACATCTAAGAAAATTATTAAATTAGACCAATGCTAAATATCCATCTATCAATTGGGCCCTTAAGCTGGCAAAAAACGGCTTTAAGAAACAAGCCCGGCCCAATTATTGGAAGTTAGCTGGAAAACGGTAGACGCCTACTGCAGTACTACGGACTTGCTCACTCGTTAGCTGTTTCAGACTTTCAGTTATGTAGCCCGCGTGTGAACCGAACCCTTCTGACGCCAACGATGTCGTCGTCCTCCGCCACAGACTCGGAACCGGCGTCGCCGAGTCTCATCCCTTCCCTTCCGGACGACGTGGCCTTGAACTGCTTAGCTCGCGTTCCTCGTTCCCAACACGTATCCCTCTCGCTTGTTTCCAAATCTATCCGCTCTGTCCTTTCTTCGCCTCTCTTCTTCAACACTCGCTCTCTCCTTCACTGTACGCAGCACGTTCTTTACCTCACTCTTCGCTCTCATGACTCCTCTGGTCCTCTTCAATGGTTCTCTCTGCATCAAAACACCCACAATTCTTCACGCAGGAACATTCTCGTCCCTATTCCACCCATGCCCTCCACTTCGGTCGGATCCGCGTACACCGTCCTCGGCCATGATATTTACGTCATCGGCGGTTCTGTCCACGACGTCCCTTCCCAGCACGTATGGATCCTCGATTGCCGCTTTAATAAGTGGCGGCCTGGCCCTAACATGCGCGTCGGCCGTGAGTTCGCTGCCGCCGGTGTTGTCGACGGGAAGATTTATGTCATAGGAGGTTGCGTTGCTGATACCTGGGCTAGATCGACGAATTGGGCTGAAGTACTCGATCCAGTAACTGGTAGGTGGGATACGGTTCCGAGTCCTGTCGAGGTACGGGAGAAATGGATGCATGCAAGCACTGTCGTGGACGGTAAGGTTTACGCCATGGCCGATCGCGGTGGGGTCGTGTATGATACACGGAATAAGGTTTGGGAAAGTGCTGGGAACGAGCTCGATTTGGGATGGAGAGGGAGGGCATGCGTGGTGGATGGTGTTTTGTATTGCTACGATTACGTGGGGAATATCAAGGGATTTGATGTGAAGAAAGGTGTTTGGAAGGAATTGAGAGGCCTGGGAAAGTGCTTGCCGAAGTTTTTGTGTGGGGCGACCATGGCTGACGTTGGTGGGAAGTTGTTTGTGGCATGGGAAGAAGGGAGTGGGAAAGAAATACATATTTGGTGTGCCGAAATTGAGGTGAAGAAAAATGAAGCAGATGAGTTGTGGGGTAAAATTGTTTGGTTGGATGAAGTTCTCTCAGCCAAGAAAGGGGCATCAATTGTGCATTGTTCTGCAGTTCCGTTGTGAATTGATTATCAGCTAGTGTTCGCAGTAAGGTATGATACCATTTAGTTTGTCTCTTAGTTTCTTTCCGAACTTGTTTATTCATAATTTCCCCTTTGTTTACTTTCTTTGTTTTAGAAACAGGGCTGTGATTGGATATAGTTTCTACTCAATTGCTTGTTTGGGATGTTTAATGCGAAAGGGATTGCTAACCTATATCCTATGGCGGAGTGGGTCAGATGAGAATTATAAATTTCTAGTTGAAGAAAATTAAAGTAAAGAAAATTTGAATGATTATTAGGAAAAGCAGTATTTAGGAAGCGTCCATGTCTCTCAGTCTGGTGGTGTCTTGAAATTTGGGCGGTGAGAAGGAGTTTGATGTCTTGTTTCTTATCTACCTTTTCCCATTTTTCTTTCTTTCTTTTTAGAACCTCTCTCTCGCTCTCTCTCTCTGAAGCATGCACAATAAACTTCTGATGTAGCAAAATTTTAAGTTGCACAATAGTATAATTTCAAATTTGCCATTAGCTTGTCTATAACGGTAGTTGAATAAAATACCCTCCTGTATAGGATGTTTTAAAACCAATCACACTGGTTTGGGTTGGGCGCCGAAAAGAGAAAAAAGCATACGAAAATTTCTCATGTTGTCCAATCTGGTCTTGTTACAAAGTGGCTTAACTAGCCTGAAAAAGTCATTGATAGGACTAGCAAAACAGAGTCTGAGATAAGTAATTGTATAAATATCCGATTCACTCTTAACAAGGGGAAATGGAGTGAACACAGCTATTACAGCCTAGCAATTGCTCTGGAAAATAAACACTCCTTCAAGACCTCACGAAAATAAGAAACACTCTCACTGGTTTTACTGTTTTAGAGAGACCAGGAACCTCTTCCAAGCCACAGACATTTCTCTCTGCCCCAAAATGAACCCCTCCTACAACTTTTACGCACTCCCACTACTCCTCAGAGGTCAGAGAAGCCGTTACTGAGCAGTATTCCCTTTCTGCCCTTCCTTTCCTGGCTCTGGACCCTTTGTGCTTTGGGCTAGACCCTTTGCTCTTCTGGAATAAGTCTGTCCCATGACTTGGCTCACATCAGTCATCTGGTCCAACTCGATACCAAACTGAATCAGTCTGTGTTTTGGGACCATCAATCAACCTAAATCAATACCCTCCCCAACTTATGAACATTTTTAGCTGTAGAGTTGGCTTGTGCCAGCAAGACTTAGGTAAAGCCAATCTGGCTTGGTTTATTCCCACAAACTCCCCCGTCTTTATTAAATACTTTAAATTTTAGTAGGGACTAGGGAGTTGTATATATTTATTCCTAGTCCATTTTATAATTAATATGCAAAATTTTCAAGAAGCTCGTTTCTTGCACGCGAATTTATAACCTAAACTAACTTGTACAATATTGTCTACATAAATGAACCAAAGGCTACGGTATTAACCATACAAGAATAGAGCACAAGGAGAAGGATCCAGACGATGACTATCCTACTCTAAGAATCTACAGTCAGCACCCCCAAGGGGTTTTATATGCTGAGTGGACAAGGCAATGGGCACAAAGCGTTATATGCCCTCAAACATGGTCTAGGATGACTATCTAGTTGTGGATGAGAAGGCCTTGAGCTTCCTTAATGATATTCGCCAGATGATGATACATGCTTCAGCCTCTGGTTATCAGTGAGATTGTTTCAATCAATCTTAATGCCAGTTCGAGCCAAGTTTATGCCCTTGGCTGCCATACTTGGGATAAATCCCATCTTCTCCAGGAATGCCACTTGCCATAGCCCTTAGTGGTCCTGTATCATCCCTATTCCACTAGTTTTCCCTTTGGCATCAACTGATCCATCAACATACATGCAAAACCAGCTGCTATTATCTGGGGCTCAATTGCCAATTCTGTGTATCTTTGCCGCAGTATCCTCTGGGTGCATCTACAGCTTAGTTGCTCTTTAGGTGCCAATCTGGATCTGAAACTCTACTGCATCATTCTGACTAAAGATTCTGATACATTTTTCCCCCACTCCAGCCAACTAGCTCTCCCTTTTTGGCTTCCTTCTTTGCATTTCGTGGGATCCAGTTCTGCGGATCTTAGGAGACAAAGGCATGCTAAGAATGTTTGAGAAAGTCATACGACTTCTCAAGCTGCAATCTTGGAGGATGTGTATGATTGTTTCAGGGAATTCACAACACCTGAGCCGAGATCATCCGCTGTACTTGGTTTTTTTGCCGGAAGCCAATGGAGATCTTTAATCTTCTCATATGTAGGACAATCCCATATCTCTCTCCAAATCATAGTTTTTTGGTATCAACTCATGCCATCATACTTGAAACAACATACCAAAATATGTAGATCTTTAGTGTTTGATTGACCAATGGCTCAACCTCTATGAAGTCTTGCTTGTTTTTCCTTCCATTCGGTCCCTCTAAGCTCCTGAGTCAGAAGGGGATTCCTCTCCCCCTCGCCCCCCTTTCTGGAATTCCAATCTTCAAATCTTGCTGCGCAGCAGAGGAGTAGTAACTCTTGCTTTTATTTTTTTAAGTAGAATGGTTGAGAGGTCATATGTGTGGTCAATATCAAGAATCAAATGGCATTGTTGATTCTCTATTCATTTTCTTATGCTTGCTTTTGAGGAGCCCGTGCCCTTGTAGTTTAAAGCATAGCAGTGAGCCACAAAGGCACAGATTAGCTAGCTAGCTGGCCTCTTCATGTTTGTTTGATATAACTAAGTCTTGTGTATTTTATGGCTTGTCTTTTGAAGGAATAATGATGAGCCAATGTACTTAGCACAGTAACGACCCGAGCATCGTGTCATCATCAGTCACGAGTCACAATGCTTTTCACACTGCTGGATTGTGATGTATTTTGTCTTCAACGTGTATGACTAACATCATCTTGGTAAAAGGGTCTTGTCCCAATTTATTTACTTGTTGATAATTTGACTCCATTTATTGTTTATCTGAATTCTGATGTATTCATGCAGCATGTAACCACGACTTGCTATTGTAAATTTGATTCTTATTCGGCGGAGATTGAGATTAAGACGGTGCTTAAGTGAGTAGTACATACTACTTTTAGTCATAGACTCAGTTGATTAATTTGGAGAGATTGATAAAGTTACTAAATTAGTTTAAAGTATTTATATTTATCGTTTTTTTTCCAACTAATTTGCCTTGCTTATAAATTGATATATAATCTGATAGTACACATAAATATTTTAAAGAGATCATGTAATATGTGTTATAATTAAGTAATTTAGTAATTTTATTAATTTTTTTAAATTAGTCAATTAGTTCTTATGTTAATAGTCGGAAGTCTAGTATTGTATTTAGACTCTTGTAAGATTTTTGCTTTACTGCACCAAAATTTTTTATTTTTCCTGATTGCAGTCCACTTATTTCTCTACATATGTGTGGCAGCTGTAATGTCCTGAAAAGATGTCACTTGATCTAACAAAGCTTGAAGCTTCCTTTCTGATTTGGTCAGGTGACTCTGACAACCCCGTTCATGGTAAATAATACAGGAATTGCTGAGGCAGTACTGCATCTTTGTTATTTTTATATCTTGCTTCGTAACAAGTAGAATCACTTTCTTCTATTAAAAAAAAAACAAGAAGAAGAATTGCTTGCTCGTCCTTCTTTTTCTTGATCTTAAATTTGTACATAGCTGACATTATGTGTTGCTTATCAGTCTGTTAATTTGTACGAGCTCTTTTGATGTACGTAATTAGCATGAAATAATTGCCGCGGAATGATTGGCAACAGTATACAGTTCCAGTTGTCCATTATAAATGAAATTCGCCGATGTTAAATGAGTCAATTTAAAAATATTTATGATTTGTCGACATCCAATTAGTACGTAATAATATTCTAATCAAATTTTGACTTAATCTTGTTTTTTAGTATTTGAGGGAGCAGGCGCTGACTATTTCAAGTTACAAGGGACCTCTCCCATGGAATTTTTATGTTACCAAGTCACAAAGATATTGATAGTCCTATTATTTTTTTTATCGCTTTAAAAAGCACTGGCAGATTGTTCGCGTCCGTGCAACATTAAGCTCCCCTAATTTTTCTCAACACCAACAAAAATTTCTCAACGGCATCGGACAGATCGAAATGGTTATACTCCTCTGGTCCTTATTATAAGACTCTATTTGACTTTTTATTTGGTCCTAATTATAAGATCCCAATCCATTTTGTCTCTTATATTTATACATTTTTTTTCCAAGATAATCCTTCTAATAATGATAGTTTTAGCCAATATACTTAATTAGCAAAGATATTTTAAGAATGACAACACTTATTTATTATAAATAACCAACTTAACTTACTTTCTTAATCTCCTCAAATAAGTTAATTGGGTCTTATAATTAGAACCGGAGGAGTATATGAATATTTTCGGATGGCGGCAGGAAGTTAAGGTACAACTCACAGCTTGTGGGTAGTGGTGCTCTGTAACTTTCTTTTTCTCCCTTTTGCCCGTCCTCCGCCCCTTCCTTTTTTTATTTAAATTTTTATAAAATGAATGGAGGTGGAGCTTAGTTGGAAGCAAGTTCAAGGGTATTTTACCACATAGGACTACATTACGCATGATAAAGATAATAATATAAAAATTCAAAAAGTAAGAGAAAGTTCATTGCATTTTAAATATTGGGTAAAAGTCGGATGGGGTAATGTGATTTTTGTTTGAATTAATTTTTATAAAAGTTAGTTTGTGAAGTAGAAAAATTATTTGAACTATGGTCGGATACATGAGTTTAGTTTATAGAATGATCAAAATAGTATAACTTTTATTGAAGAATAAAAAATTATTAAAAATATGAATTTGCAAAATATAATAATTTTAAATTATTATTATAATACGAAGAAGTTATATTTAATAAATAAAATATATTTAAATTAAAAATTATAATAATGTCAAAAAATTTTAAATCAAATAATATTTCATAATTAATTTGATGATATATCTACAAAATTTATGTAAATATAAAATAAAAGATAATATTAAAAATTAAGAATATTACTACCTCCGGTCCTTCTAGGACTAGATGTAGTATGAAAACTATGTTAAAATTATTTTCATTTGAGAAATATTAAAAATAAATAATTGAAAACTGATTAGAAATTATAAGAAATAGGTTGATAGAAGTATAAGAACAATATAAGGGCAAAAATATCTTTTAATTTTAAAAAGTTTTTTTGCATAAGTTATAAATAAGTTATAAATATTTTTGGAATCGTACTTAAAAAAAGTAACTTTTGACCAATAAGTCATATTGATAAAAAAAAATGTTCTAAACCGCTCTCAAATTTATAAACTAATTTATTAAACATATAAACTACTTTTTGGCTCCTTAAAGGCCCCACCAAACAGGCATTTATTCTAATTATCACCTTCAAAACTTGGAAGTTGGACATGAGAGACGGTTATATGTGTTTTTATCGAGGCTGAAGAATTAGAAAATTTAGTGTAATTAAAAAAAGAATTAGAAAATTAACATTTTTAAATGTGCGGCAAAATTATACTTTAAGTCTTTTATTTTTATATAAAATTTTAATTTAGTTAGTCAAAGGTATATTTTTAGCCTAAAGCTTTGATATCATTTTATTAGTCTCATGCACATATAGGAGGAAAAAAAAAAAGATAAATATATTACCATGAGAATGATTTTTATTTGCAGTGCTACTCTTTAAATAGAAGTAGACATAAATACAAAAGAGATTATAAATATTTTAAAGGACAATAAAAACGAAACAAACTCTATTATAAGATCATCATTCCGAAGACTTGATCTGCCAATACATTATCCACACGTAGCTTTCAGGAAGCCCATGATCTGCATTAATGCCTGATCAGTACAAAGATGCGAATTAGAGAATCACCAATAACGCAAAATGTAGATTCAAGATTTACCACACAAGGAATCTTTTAACTGGCCTAAGAGCCTTATAAGAAAATGGAGTAGATGAGGCGGGTGGGGCAGAAAGAAATTTGGACCTCATGCTCCCAACGAAATCATCGTTATCGGAGGGTTTTCCAGACTTGGCGGCTCGGTGCTCTTCCATGATGGAGCCGACGAATTTTCTGACACGAGGAACGAGTTTCGAGCAACGTTTATTTATATGATGCGGGTCATAGATAGCGCTAAGCCATGGAAGATAATCAGACCAGTCGAAAGCCCTAAGAAGCTTAAAACCTTCTCGAACCATATCCTCGAGCTCGGGAGGTGAAAAGCGCAAGGGTTAAAAAGCACATGGCCGTGGTGATTGATGGATAATAATAAATTAGGTGGAGGGGGCAACGATATTTTGTTTTTGTTCGAAATATAAAAAAAAAAAAAAAAAAAAAAGACACTGGATCGAAAACATACCGGGTCGGATCTCGAGTCGGGTCGTCAGATCTTCTTAACTCACGCTTAAGCTAAACTATAAAAGTCTAAGCTTTTAAGTGCGCAGCAGAGCACCTCTTTGTAAAAAAGAAAATAAGAGAGAGAGAGAGATATAGTAGGAAAGCTCTACTACTTGAGTGATTTGAACTGATGGGGGGAAGCCTCTATTTATAGCTTTTGTCATATATAATATATCCTTATCTCATAATATCATGATATTTGAATTTAAATCTAGAATCAATGACAATTAATTCTAAATATATATACTTAATATATATTTAATCTACACAATATAAATTAATTAATTTAATATAAATTAATTAGATTTATATCGTAACCGATTGGATATGATTCAGGGTGTTTGACCAAGTCAAACATATCACAATATCGCTTGGATATTTGACTGATATATTCTCTTTATACCCAGTCAAATAATCCGGCCCATCAAGGGCGGATCCCAAGCCCAAAATCTAACATCTCCCACTCGCACTTGATGGGCTGCCCATCGTGCGATAGCTAAATCTTTCATTGCTTCATACTGGGTGTCTGCCGTGACCGCGTGGGCATGACGTCATCGATTCGGGCGCTTGTGCACTAGGAATCCTTTATGCAGGACCAACACACAAGAACACCCTTGGTGTACCTGCAAATTACATGCTTGTTGCCTCGAATGCCCCAGTTTTATCCATACACTTTACTTGTGGCATATCTAATCCCTCTCGAGTTATTTTGTTTACTCAGATTGCCTTCTCATACGTATGGTATCCACACTTGCTTAGTTGTTCTGTTCAACCTGCAAGGGACATGTCACAGACACCAACGTAGATGTGTAGTTCAGGATAAATCTTCCTTCTGACTATCCATCATTTAGATTTGGCATAGTCGCTTTCTTAGTCTTGACCTGTTAGATCGCATCATTCTTGACCATGGGGTTTAGGCTAGAGTAGCTGCCACTAAACCAAAACCTTGTGATGTTGTCTAAGTCTTAAGGGCATTATGAAAGGTTTATTTCCTTTCTGGGACTCACACCGTAATGGATCAGGGATCTTCCATCTACGTCCCTTGTTGCGGATTTGGGTGAGCTCATGTAGTATGAATTGCATGCTACGGTGCTCAATCCACCAAGTGGAGTATGTTGCTTTTGGTTTTAATAGCACCGTATAGACTTAAGTTCCAAATGCACTCCAACATTTGAACCAAGAGCTCTTTCATCACAACCATATATGACGTCTTACTAGTGAAGAGTTCCTTGTCTAGCTACAGGTCTCATGGACGACACATTATCCGTGATTCGGCCTAAACTTTTATGGGTCTCATCTCAGTCTAGCTGAGGTAACATTTGTGTAGTGATTCTTCTCTACCATCTCATGGTGATCATCTGCTGTCAAACCTTCTATATCCCATGAGAATATAGCGAGGTGGTTACTCGTGTGAGTGAGCCAACCTTATGACCTGTACGACATATTTGTATTACATACCTCGTGCCTATGCATGTATAAATACACAAATGTATATACAAGAAAAATTTATTTGAACTGGATAAAATGTATTGAATTACTAAGTAAGAGGAAACAAAAAGTTCATTACAACATGCCTTGTGCTTGCATGTTTGAACAAGAAAAAAAGGATAAAAAAGAAAAAGGAGTTCAATACATCATACTCTACGCATGCCCAAGGCCTTTACATGCTTAATGAAAGGATCTCTAGCTATAGGCTTGGTTAGGGGATCTGCCAACATCTTATGAGTGGACAAGTATTGAACTGTCACTTGTTTCTTAGCGATCATATCCCTTACAAAGTGATTTTATGTCTATATGCTTAGTACGATTGTGGTACTTAGGGTCCTTTGCATAGGCTATTACTGCTTGGCTGTCGCAGTGAATCAGAGTTGGTCCCTCACTCCCACCATGGATTCCCAATCGTACTAAGAATCTTTTGAGCCACACAGCTTCTTGGACAGCTGCAGAACAAGCTACGTATTCTGCTTCCATGGATGAAAGAGACACACACGTTTGTTTCTTACTACTCCAGGAGATTGCTCCGTTATTCAGTAGGAAAGCATAGCCTGACGTCGAGTGTCGCTCATCCAGGTCTCCTGCCCAATCAGCATTGGAATAACCCTCCGCACGAAGGCCATTTCCTTGATAGCATAGCTCATAGTCCATGGTTCCTTTTAGATATCTCATAATTCTCTTTGCAGCTTCCCAGTGTTTGACTCCTGGATTGGATTGGAATCGGCTCACAAGTCCGACTGCAAAGCATATGTCTGGCCTGGTACACAACATGACGTACATTAGGCTGCCAACAGCACTTGAGTATAGGACTCTTTTCATGCGTTCTATATCGCATTGTTTTGTAGGGCGCATTTCCTCGCTTAGGTTATGTCCCTTAACCACAGGGGTATCCATAGGCTTGCAGTCTCTCATATTAA